TGTGTGTGTGTGTGTGTGTGTGTGTGTGTGTAAAATCCAAAAGTAACTGCGTAAGTAATCATATTTTAAGTAGTTCCTCTGTAGCCGCGTAGTCGAGAGTCTCCAGCCAATTTTGCAATTTAGACTTCAGTTCGTAACTAGATAAGCCAACACAGTTGTGAATTCTGTTTAATTTAGTATATAGAACCGAGCTTAAAACATAAAACTGCCTGCTTGCAAGTGTGGTCGAATGCTGTTCACTTGGACACACCGCTCGTTTAACATGACGGTTTGGTTGTAGGGGAGGTACTGAACGGTGTTTTCTCAATACGACCCTGAATATAAAAAGCTGTCTCACTGAAAGGACTTGAGTCTCAGCGTACAGTTGTGCAGTCGGATACTTGAAGTGATTGTTGGTTGCCACTTTCAAGACAGCTCTCTGTTCCCGTTCCAGCCCAAGTAACGTAGTTTTAACAGCGCTACGCCACGTGGAAATACAGTAACTAATGATACAAGAAGTTAAACATTGATAACCTTTATTAAAAAAGAACCAACTAAATTTAAAAACGCTTTTGTACAATAATAATGTTCGAAGTGTTCTTTACTCTATTAAAAAAAATAAGGTAAATTTAAAGTTTATATAAAAATTTGATCCCTACGTTGAGCACTCTATAGAAGTAGATACCTCTATGATGACGTATTCACAGTCTAGATTTTTTCTTCTTGTGCAGTTGCTGCTTGAGCACTCGCCGTAAGATCTTGCCTGAAGGGTTCTTGGGGATCTCGTTCACGAATATCACTCCTCCGTAGAGACGCTTCTCTGGCGATAGCTGAAAATTAATTTAACAAATGATGATTTTTATTTTCTAACTTTGCTGTAGTCTTTCTTTCACTAGAATATACATAAGAGCGGTTACACACGGTGACTTTTAGTAGCGATGCAAACACGATGCGAGCGCACGACTGCATCGATACAAACGAGCGATTGCATCGCTACACTTGTGATTTATAAGCGATTGCATTGATACAACCGCGCGATTGTATCGAAGCAATTGCGCGTTTGCATCGAAACAGTCGCGCGTTTTCAACGATGCTATCGTCTATAAATCGCAAGTGTAGCGATGCAATCACGCGTTTCAAGAACGCGCGTTTGCATCGCTGCTAAAAGCCGCTGTGTGTAACCACTCTTAGGTACTTTATGCGTAATTGGTAGCTGAAAATCATATAACTGTCCTTGTGTATATAGGCAACTATATATTTTACGTTAGTAGGTTATAGCTACTTAAAAATGAATAATAAAATAAGATGTCCGATCATTCGTATCGTAACCCTGAATATTATAGTGCAAATAAGTATTTGGAATGGTGTAGTATGGTGTATCGGGCTAGTGTCCTATATTATTAGAACCTAGGAACCTACGTACGCTTTAGGAGCCAGGGCCACTCTGCGAACTCGATCTGTAGATCAGTTGATAGAGCGGTGGCCCTAGTTTTGCACAGACGTAAGTTCGAGTCATGTCAGAAGTAATTTCACAAAAAATAACATGAACGTATATATGATATTCAATAAAAATCAGTATTAGAATTCATTTCACGTCAGACTCTGGTAAATCAGCGGCTGTAAAAGTACTGACGAGTGAGAAGGTTCATAGATCTCTCACAGAAGTCGCTTGCGCCTAAATTACGTACTATTTATAAATTCCATATAGATAGAACATACATACATAGAACAGTGTTGTGTTTTAAATTATATCTGGAAATTATGCTCGGTTTTGATAGAACTGTTAAGAAGCCACTAATGTTTGCGGACCTCACGTCACATTCACAAAAATCGTCTGTCGTACCCTTGTCATACCTAATGGATAACTTGAGTTCATTTTTCACTGGCGATATAACGTATATTGCTACTGATATAGGGTCATACCCCATACTTTTAAAACTATATTCGGGTAATTTTAAGGTCAGTTTTCTCTACCTAATTTCGATGGCAACTTTTATTATTTACGTATTCGAGAATATTTTAGTGAAATATTAAATAATATTTCAAGATACTACAACCGAATATTAAGTAATACATGAAGTATTACTTCTTACAATATTTACTACGATAATATTCTAAAATTTTTAATAAAAATAAAATTCAATAATAAAAATTGTCACCGAATTTAAATAGAGAAAACTAACCTGAAAATTACCCATTTTTTTAAGTATTTCGAATAGTCGATAGAACGACAGTACCGTTCACAACGAAAATGGGGTTTACTACGTCATTTTGAATCACGTTTCCTCTAATGGCACCTGATCCACGACGACTGTTTAAACCTAAGTTTCATTATAAAAAAACATTGCATCGATTGTTGATTTCACCTAATACCATAAAATCGACGACTTATGTAAGCAATAAAGGAAATCGCGGGTAGGCGCCCAAGTAAAAACACCAAATTTTTTCTGCTCTCTATTTTTATTCATTTAAAATAGTAAATGTGTATATTCATTAAAATTTAGCTCACATGCACTAAGGTTGACTGTTTACTTACTCTCACACAAACTTTTACACCTTCACAATGGACACTTCAGCAGAGCAACTCAAGAAGAGTATTGATGAACTATCCACAATGTTTAGTAGCAGGATGGGGGAATTTGAGAAAAATCTCCACCAGCCCAGCGGTACTGCTACCACAGTGAAGAGTATTGCAGCAGACTTCAACTCTTTCAAGGCCTTCGTCTGGAAATCCATCAGCATGCTCAAGTCCCAGGTAGAGCTCCTGCATGTTTGTTTGGACCGTCTCGAGACACACTCCCGCAGGAAGGTCTTACTGTTTCATGGAATCAAGGAGGATGTTGGTGAAGACACAGCAAAGAAAGTTTCGGCCATATTATCCAACCAATTAAAGTTGTCCAGTATGGATCACGAGGCATTTGAATCTTGCCATAGATTAGGTGCGAAGAGGGACTCTGCCCGGCCTATATAGGTTCGTTTTACTACAGCACAACTTCGGTCCAAGGTATGGAAGGCTAAAACGGCATTGAAAGGTTCCAAAACTTCAATCTCCGAGTTCTTGACAAGACCCCGGCAGGATGTTTTTGTGGCGGCTCGAGGTCACTTCGGTATGAAAAGGTGCTGGTCGACCGATGGAGTGGTAATTATACTTCTTCCTGACAAAAGCCGTAAAAAGATTGTTTCCTTGGCTGAGCTGAAGTTATTGATGTCCCAGTACCCCAAGGATTCCTCGCCGCCTGTCCGTACTGTGAAGTGAAAGAGCATTCTGCTGGGTTTGTTGTTACTATTATATTTTGTCGGCTTATACTGTTTCCGTCTTTTTGTAATAATATGGGGTATTCATCATGTTTTATATAATATTTTGCACACAAAATTGAAATACCTCCGTCAATTCACTTTTAATCGGAGCACCCAGTCAAGTGTCACTTTCTTTTTTTCTTTTTTTTTTTTATTTGGCTCTGTTCGTTCAAAAATTACAGGCTAGGGTTATAAACCGTTCTGCCTCGTCCCAGGCTCACTTTCTTTTATATGAATGGAAAATGTATCTTAGAATAGTTTTGCAATACATATGGTATCATAATATTACCCTCACAGTGTATGTATCATTAGAGTAGAATTTCGTTTTAATGTTTCATTTTTCATTCATACTTATTTTAATTATTATTTTTAATAGTTCTAAGTAATTATTGTTTGTTTGTTGCTCTTAAATTTCAGTTTTTATTTTTGTAAGTTTGGAGTTACTCGTCTTGTCAACCTGTGCAGTGGGTTATTTGGAAATAGCGTATTTTTTTTTTGTTTTGTTTTTTTTTTTTCGTATTTTCTTTACATATTTATTTAGGTTTATATAACTATATATATTTTTTTTTTTTATTTTTTACAATGTTTATTGAAGATGATTATTTTTCTTGCTCTTCAGATGATTATATTAGCGCCCAAAGTCATAATACTTCACTTTCAGATTCTGAACCTTTGGAAGATAAACTTCACGATGTATTTGATAATTATAACAAATTCCTTTCCTTAGTGCACATCAACGCGCAGAGCATTCCTGCTCACTACAATGATTTTCTTACATCTTTTAGCGCCGGCATAGTTGATTGTATTCTTGTGTCGGAAACCTGGCTGAAACCTACTTTACCTTCTACTAGCTGTTCCATTCCGGGATATAAACTATTTCGTAATGACCGTGTCGGGTGTGGTGGAGGTGGTGTTGGCATTTACCTTCGTAGCCACATCATTGCTGATGTTGTTTGTTGCTCTCAGTCACTATACACGGGTTCCTTGGAACATTTATTTCTTTCAATTGTAGTTCACCACAAAAAAATCCTGCTTGGCGTTTTATATAGCCCTAATGATAAAACAGAATATTTTAACGTCTTGGAAAGTACTTTTGAAAACTTGGTCCCCCTTTTTGACCATGTCATTGTAATGGGTGACTTAAACACGTGTCTCCTCAAAAATGACAGTCGAGCCGTCAGGTTGGCAGCTTTGACGTCTGCGCTTGATCTCCAAGTGCTAAATACAAAGAAACCGACCCATTACTTTCCTAACTGTAGGCCTTCCTTGCTAGATTTAATTATTGTCACTAACCCCAAACTGGTCATTTCGCATGGGCAGATGATTGCTCCCTTTTCACATCACGACTTAATTTATCTTTCTTACAAAGTGCGTCCACCTAAAGGTAGGGGAAAAGTCCTTCTTTTGCGAAATTTCAAGAATTTGAATCTGGATCGTTTGAGAGAAGATATGAGATGTATTGACTGGTCCGTATTGTTTTCGTCTGACAGTATTGACGTAATGGTTGATATCCTTAACACTGAGTTGGTGAAGGTTTATGACTCCCATGCTCCTGCTCGGCCTGTGCGTGTCAAACGTGCGCCGGCTCCTTGGCTTTCGCCTGAGATTAAAAGAGTTATGGCAATGCGTGATAAAGCCAAATGCCGTCTAAAACGTGAACCCTCTTCAGCAAATCTAGACGAGTATAAGAAGTTACGCAATCTCAGCAATAGAATGTGTAGGGATGCCAAACGTCGCTACTTTCACTCTACCATACAAAATCTTTCCCAAGCTCAGGTGTGGAAATTTTTACATTCCGTAGGTGTTGGCAAGTCGTCCTTGGATGTTTGCCAAAACAACATAGATCTCGATGCCCTGAACTCCCACTTTTCCACGCCGCCCATCATCCTTAACTCTCGCACTAAATCGAATACTCTAACTTTTCTGTCTAATCTTGCGTTACCTGATTGTCCCCCTTTCACTTTTGGTGCGGTCACAGAGGATCTTGTAAAAAAGAGTATCCGCTCGATTTCCACTAAGGCCATTGGCAGTGACAATTTGAGCCTCGAAATGATTCTTCCCGTGCTGGAGGACATTGCGCCGGTTATTACTTACATCATAAATTTTTCTCTCTCGCGCTATGTCTTTCCAACTCAATGGAAAAAGGCTTTTGTCATACCTCTCCCTAAAATCCAGAATCCTACATCTTTTTCACAATACCGTCCTGTTTCCATTCTCCCCATTCTTTCTAAAGCCCTAGAATCCATTGTACATACACAACTTTATTCTCATCTTACCTCCTATAATCTTTTATGTCCGTTTCAGTCTGGCTTTCGTCCATCTCATAGCACTATTGGAGCATTACTGAACATTACGGAGGACATACGTCGTGCTATGGATGAAACGAAACTCACTGCCATTGCCCTCTTGGATTTCAGCAACGCTTTTAACTCTGTTGACTTCGACATTCTTCTTGGTGCCCTTCAGGCTGTTAATATCCCTTCTCCTATTATAAGTTGGTTCTCTTCGTATCTTTTCGGTCGCCAGCAGAGCGTGAAAATCAATGATGGCTCGTCATCTTGGTCTAACTTAACTGCTGGTGTGCCCCAGGGTGGCGTACTCTCTCCTTTACTCTTTTCTATTTTTATTAATAATATTTCCCGTGTCATTTCTTCTCCCTTCCATTTATATGCTGATGATCTTCAGCTTTATCGTAATTTTGAAGTGGGCGAGGTAGCGGAGGCAATTGCGTCTATCAACTGTGATTTGTCTGCCATTCAGTTATGGGCCAAGTCATTTGGCCTTTTGGTTAATCCAGCCAAGTCTCAAGCAATGATTGTGGGCAGTAGCAGATTGAGGTCCAAGTTGGACTGGTCTTTGGTACCTGCGCTGGTATATGACGGAGTTCCAATTGCATATACTGACAAGGCTAAAAATCTCGGGTTAGTAATGGACTGCACCTTGTCTTGGACTTCTCATGTCAATGAGGTCAGCAGACGAATGTACTTCTCATATCATTCTCTCAAACGTCTCCAATACTTTCTTCCTTTTCACACCAAAATTATGCTTGCGCAAACTCTTTTACTCCCTATTCTTGACTACGCCGACGTTTGTTACTTGGATGCGACCGAAGACCTTTTAAACAAACTAGAGCGTCTACAGAACCTGGCTATCAGATTTATTTTCGGTCTCCGAAAATTTGATCACGTTTCCGAATTTCGTGCTCGGTTAAAATGGCTCCCAATCCGCCTTCGCCGTGATGTGCATATCCTGTCCACCCTTTTTAATATACTTCATGACCCAAATTCTCCTTCCTATCTACGTTCCCGGTTCCAACTGCTTCCCCCTCCTAGCCGCTCAAGGCGTCCGTGCATCACTAAGATGCTCGTTCATCCTAGTTGTAAAACAAATTTCTTTTACAACTCCTTTTCCTCTCGTGCAGCGCAGCTGTGGAACAGACTCCCTTCCCATATTCAGTCTAGTCCGTCAATTGCTTCCTTCAAGAAAAGGTTGACAGCGCACTTTCTTGCTGAACTCTCTTAATAATCATCATATTTGTATATGTGTAAGTTTATTGATACAATGTATTATACGTTATGTAGTCTATTTATTTATATACTATTTTAATTATTTAACGGTAATTTTATATATGCATATTTTACACATGTAGATTATCATCTTTTGTTATCTCTTTTGCACGCCGTTCCCCGCTTAAAACCTTTGCTCTCACTGCCTTGGGTTGGCTGGAAGAGATCTCTTTTAGAGATAAGTCCACCTTTGCTCACCTTATGTTATTTTTTTGTTTCTGTTTATTTGTTTGGTGCAATAAAGAATATATATAAAAAATTTGTAAAGGTATTGATTTTTGAGATTCGAAAGTAATCATGAAAATGGAAAATTTTAACCAGAAATTAAAATTATTAGAAAAACCAATGTATAATTTTGCTAGATAAATATTATATCATATCTAAGAACTCGATAAATATTATATAGTCTGTCACTGATAAACAAAATGCATGAAAAGGGTAAAAAAATATTTCCTGGCAAAAGACGTCATGACCACTCTCATATGTCAAAATTTTTCGTATCACTGTTCATCGAACCCTGTATGCCTTAAGCTGTACATTATACAATTACGTACTGTACATTACCGGGGTTCTATCAGGACATATTTACTACAGTAAATACATACCCTCTCATTAGTGAACTCTATGATCTCCTTCTCAGTAATGTCTACGCCATATTTCTTCACGACAAACGCGGTGGTAAGCTCTCCTGCCTTTTCATCAGGGGCACCAACTACCCCGCATTCCGCTACTCCAGGGTGTTGAAGTAGCACGTTCTCCACTGTTGCTGGCGGCACCTAAGATAAAGATAATTCTCTACATTAACATACGATTATTAGTAAAATTGTCTACAAGATTGCAAACATTATTTATGATATATAGATTTATAGATAATCATAAAAAGATATTGAGTTCGTACTTATTCATATCAAAATATATGTCACATGCAAAGCCACTTGACACTATGGCGGAAGACTTTGAACTCCTTGGAGGAGACCTTTGCTCTCAAGTAAAGCGTATAGTATGGGATACAGTATTGTTGGCATTAGCAACTTTAAAATAAGCCTTCGCCTGGTACGACGACTAGCGTAATGTGTAGTTTTGTGAAATATATTAAAATTAGCGTCAAAGTACAGACGTCTCAACAGCTCTCCATAGAATAGTGTAGTATTATCTCTATAATACTACAAGGACAGGACAAGTGGTAGCAATTTTCTTTTAAATAGTGGTGATGTGTACTTTATGCTATGGATTTGTACTCGTAATAGGATACTTGAATTGTTTTTTTATAAGTTACTTCTTTATCACATGGATATAGTGAAAATTAATCTCAAATTAATTTTTCTATAGCTCAACTAACATTATGTATTCAGCAGTCCCTTTTTCGCAAAACCTATGTAGCTTGTATGGTGCCATTATTTCTAATTCACTTCTCACATTTGACAATAAATAGTTTAGTATAACTAATGTAAACCACTTTTATGACGATACTGTACCCTACTATATATTGTCCTATCAAGACGATTATCTGTTTGGTCTTGATGGACAGATTGAGATAGAATCGCTCACGGTATGTTAACACAGCATATTTTACATGTTAGAACGATGATGTATCTGATTATAATAAGTAATTGCTGAGGATTATCTTTACTTTTATATGTCATTATGATTATATCAGTTCTTAAGTGTGGCAACAGTTCGGTGCATTTGGACTTTGATCCGTGTTATTTGTAAATTCAGTTGATTTTAAATACACACATTTCCGTCTGTCGGTACAAGTACGATATCACTCTACTGTATAAACTATATTACAGAACAAACCATAGGAAAACAGATCAACCCACACGTTTAATTCTGGAGAGATTGAGATTTTCTTGTTATCGTTCATCCCGCAATTCCGGTTAAACTTGACAGGTGTTTGAAAAGTTTCATGAGATGTATACATTCTTACCTGACTTCCTTTATATTTGATCAGCTCCTTAAGTCGGTCGACAATGAAAAATGTTCCATCCTGATCATAATATCCTATGTCTCCAGTCTTTAAGTATCTTTCGTTATCGAGAATGTCACGCGTGGCTGATTTATTGCCGGCGTACCCCTTCATTACAACAGGTCCTTTTATACAAATTTCTCCTTTCTGGTTAGGACCTAGTTTTTGGCGCGTTTCAATGTCTACCACCTGCAAAAATATTGGAATTTGATTTGCAGTTTAAATAAATACAATTTTCAAGATTTTCACTGTCGATATAACGCATAACATAATTACAAATAAAGAGGTAGATAGTTTCTGTGGCTACATCCGATAATCGCTAACACAACTACTAGCTGTTTGGTTGTCCCGAAATCATTGTTGTATGTACGGAAATAGTGGGCTAAAAGGCTAAGGGGGGATGCGAGATAAATATAAAAAAATATTTTTTATTACATCAAAACCTGTGTGGCTTGTCAGAAAAATGATGTATGCAATTTTGAAGACAGTATTTCTAATTGTATGTAGGAATACCGTTTCAATATAATTCGGCCTACTAAGTTTATTATAAAACAGCCGGTATTTTCAAGTTGCGTTAATAATTTAAGCGTCATTAAGTTAAGTTAATCATTTTTAGAAATTACGCCGTAATCAACATTGTTGTCATGCCAAGGAATTACTCATAAGACTTTCTACTAAAATTTTATGAGTAATTCCATAACATGACATAAAAATGATTAAAATTTACATTTAAAAATATTCAGGCTACCTTAACTTTAACTCCTCTGAGAGGAAAACCGCCGCTGCCGGGCTTGTGTAGTCTTACGTCATCTTCTTCGTCTACATCTTTGGTTGCAGCAAGTGACGTTTCAGTCATTCCATATGCTTGGAAAATACCCTTACAGTTAGGTAAGCTGCAGACGAAAGAAAGATACGGTATTTAAAACTCTATCAGAATCTCGTAACAAATACAAAATAACTGACATAAACATCCTTGATAGTTGCATGCGTGCAAATGCACGTGGATAATATTTTGGTGATTTAGATTGCACCACACATCGCCGACAAGTGCAATGAGTGTAGATTAGTTACTGTTATATTATATTGTATGTACGTTAGTCCTTACGGTATATATTATATGGGTCATGTGGCCTGAAATAAATGTCTAAATAAAAAATATAATTCTGTATATAGATAATATTTTTTTACATATCCTGTGGCGGGACGAACAAATCGTGGTAGTACGTAAGCGACACGCTTTGCAGTGACATTCAAATCAGATAGCTTTGTATATACCGTAAAGATATGAGAGGCACTGCATCTGCGCCCGTCTCCTTGAGGCGTAAAGTTGACAAGTCAACTGTGTTTGTAGTTTCATCTTCAGAATTACTGTTTGGCAGCAGAAATAAGTAAGGTGGTAGTACTTCCCTGGACGAGCTCTTTCACAAGGAAGTCTGTAGCTAGTATCGTTTTCAATATACAACCTATTCAGTAACGTATAACTACGGATTATGAATTTATTAATTATATAATATGTTTGTTTCCACATAAATGTTTAAATTTAGAATGTAATACGAATCGTGTAAGTGCATTTTTTTCACAACAAAACCAATGGCAACGTGTTCAATCGTACGTACCTACGTAGTCAAGACCGCGTCGAGCGCCCACTTACAATAAGAACACCTTTATGTTTTCTTGACTGTACGTACCGTACCGGTCAAATATGGAATGCAAAATTGTGATTTTCATATGAAATTCTTCAAATTCAAAGGCTTGTTATTTGCATACGGGACCAGATACAAAAACCAATAAAAGACAGGAGGCCTCATTGCTCTAAAGCAAGCTATTATACTATTATATTGTTTTTTTAAATATCATGTTATGTTGGCAAGAAAATCTACCAATAGCAATAGGTCGAGGTAACCGCAACAATGTCTACAAGTTTCTCACTCGTCAATTTGCATGATAATGTATTAAACATATGTATATAGAATGTATAACAATACAAATCTTGAGAGCGTGTTGTTGTTACAATAGAAATATTTAAATAAATGTAAATATATCTAGACAAACTAAACATATATAGATAGATAGAGCAGTCTATATTATTATTTACTTTAAAAATGCTACTTTATTAAAAAGGAGAATAAGAATGTAGGTCCTAAAACAAGACTCCATCTACATCTACATATTCCACTTTTCCTTGAATAGTTACACAGTCATATTATTATCTAAGTATATGGTAAATAAAGGGAAGGAAAACTTTTATAATAAAATTAACGCCAGAAATAAAAGCAAATAATCTATATAAATATGGCGTACATATAGAATAGTAGAATAGTCAGTAAATCATAAATACTCATTATGATTTTCTTAGGTGTACGTTATTAAGTCAGTTAATACTGAATCATTTACAAAGATGAATATAGTAACACCTAACCCAACAAACACACATTATACGTTGCACACAGTTGGCGCTACAACAAAAAACCCGTTTAGATGTACCTCAACTTATACCTCAGTTGGTTTTTTTTCGTAGCGTAGTTAGCAAAAAAGTCGTTAAAAACCAAAAACAAAGATCAGCAACAAGAACAAAGAAAAATTCGTTGCTGCTGGTTTCTGATGCTCTGCTGGTTTCGTTCCGTAGCTTAGTTTGGAGACCGTCCGCCTAGTTTGCTGAAGACGCTGGTTCGAATCTGGCCGGATCGAACTTGTGTGTTCGATCTTTATATTAATAGTTATAACAATTATATAGGGGAGTAATTTCACAAAAAAATAATTGAATATCATAGTCAATAAATTTCATAAAACTAGTAGGTATTTTCACATAAAATAAATGGATATTATACTAGTTACAAACATCGTGATATTCAATAGAATAAATATTATACCACCAATTTTCGCAAAAATATTATGGTTCCAAATAGTTTATTAACTAGATTGGAGTACCTAGCAAATAACAATTACCCAGAATCGCTTGTTTAGGAACGCTTCCCAACACTCGTATCATAGTTACATTGTTTGCTGACCTTATCTGTCCACACACACCCACATCAAATACACACGAGTCAACAAAAACGCTAACGGTAATTGTTTTATAATTCACTCATCTTTGTAGATGATTATATATATTTAATCTGGATTCACCTATAATTCGTTAGTTGATTGATAGTTGGTAATGGAAAAGTCATCGTTTAAAACATTGAATAGTAATGAGAGATAAATGTTCGATTAGTTTGTTGGAAGAATCAGTTAATTTACAAAATTAAAAACCTTCAATGCCATCACTAACATCTCTATCGTCTAACGTCTAACTAATCGTAAAATGTCTGTATCTAGTCGACGACAACTTTTTTTATACAATATCAAGTGACGGAGCCCAAAACGATAACCGTAACACGTAAACCGCTACTCTACGAATCCAGTTAAGAGTAGTAGCAGTAGAGCTTCTTGTGAAAGAATACGTCAAGGGAAGTACTGCCTTCTTACCTATTTCTACCGCCACGCAGTAATGTGATCATTGCTGCGTTCCGGTTTTGTAGTGTAAGGGTGCTGGTGAAATGACAGGCACATGGGATTTGTCAATTTATGTCTCAGGGCGATAGGCGCAATGCCCGTGTTTATCAGATATTAACAATTTAAGACTTTAAACTCAGAGCCTTAAAGCTCTGAGTGGCATTGCAACTGCTATAGACAGGCGTGTTACGTACTATCGGTTACTTCGTATCATAAAAAAGGTTAAATTAATGTTTTTTTATTATATTATTTTTTATCCAATTATTATTTTTTGTAGGGAAGATGGAAAATTAACTTTATTTTAAGTTAATTTTTCCATCTTCCCTCCACAAAAATAAAACAAGCCCAACTACAGCTACAAATACCACCATCAAAAATACATCAACAATACAAGTGTTTCGCCTCTCTTCGAGGCATCCTCAGGAGTTGTATGAATGAATGTTTTATTGTTATAACATTATATTGTTCACAATCCTTCTTTAAAGATAACGTTACAATTTAGAGTCAAATACAATTTGTCAGATCGCAGTTTCTAACGGTAAGAGAAAAACATCGAGTAGCAAATTAAGTTACTCTCATTTTTATTACACACAAGGGAATTCACAAGATTCAAGTTTTGAAACCTTAAATGAGAAAATAAAGATGAGATTTTATTACAAAAAATAAACGGGCTGTCACACTTACCGTGCCATAGCCTGATTAATGGTTTCATTAGTAAGCGGAGCTGCTCCGCACAACACTGCTTTAACCGAGGACAAATCATATTCAGCAACTAGGGGGAACTTAGCCAGGAACACCACTAACGGAGGTACTGTTAGTAAGACGTTTACCTAAAATGAGGATTATTATCATTATGTGTGTTTACAATGAAACTATCATTATGTAGTACGTACGATATTTTTGCAATGGAGTCAGTACTTCGCAGCCCACTTCCGTGCAGTACTTATTTGAAAGTTGTTTTAACTATGTCAGTGCTTATTATAGATAAATACATAGTGGCTTTATCGGTGACAAGCAGAGATAGGTAGGGGATTAAAACCGAATGGCGCCCGGGTTTTTGCCCAAAGCGTCCTATTTTGAACCATTTTTACCCAAAATTATACACGGAAACCATTATACCCATTAAATAATATTTAATTTAGTGTATACCAACATTGATATTTCCGTAGGAAACTGCATTACTATCCAGCCACAAGATTTAGTATACCAATTAATAAAAAAAAAAAACAAGATTCTTGATCCGGCGCGCGGGTTCACCTCCTTCCTGGTTTCTTATCTACGACTTGCTGACACCGCGCCGGCACATAATGGTTTCATAATCTTTTTTAGATGGAAAATTAGTTACTTTAGTTAAAAAGAAATTAGTCAATGGAATTAATAATTAAATTTGAACAAAATTGCATGTACGTCAAATATATATTTACTTATAAATAGATCCCACTCTCGTGTTTTGGGCGCTAATGGGTTTTGCACTGATTTAAATGTGTGTCAAGTGTGTCTTAAACAAACGTGGAAGAAAATTATCATAAAATTATTGATCTCATAGTCCAAAAATTCTTTGTTCCATGGTTTTATTTAGTTTATCTGAAATCTCTCAAAACGGCATTTCTATTGTAATACTAAAAGTGGTAAACCAAAAGGTCTGATTTATCATTAATAATGGAAATTCACTTAATTGTTTTTGCAACAGTGAATGCCAATTTTGTAAAGTCGTACTTTTAAGTTGTTTGTGAACCCATTCAGGGTTAAACTACTTAAAAAAAATCCAATTTAGGAATTTCGAATTTCGATAATATTTATACTGGGTGTAGGTGCTAAATAAGGTTATAAATCGTCTATTATCAAAATGTGACGTAAAGATTTTAATGTCAAAAAGATATATATACTTTTATAAGATTATAATCTTTATACAACTAAAGATATAAAATTGCTATGTACCGACCTTGTGTTCTTGTATAGCTTCCAGATATTTAATAGGGTCGAAATTGGCGAAGTACACAAGGACCTTTCTGATTGCGAGGAAATTGATTGTAGACATCAGTCCATAGGCATGATACCAAGGCACGAGTGTCAACATTGTTAAATATTCATCTCCCTTATCTTTGCCAGTCCTGGAAAATGTACAATTTTTTTCTGACGAATAAATAAATTACGAAAATACGACGAATTTACTTGTCTAATTTATCTATTACAGAAATTTACTGATAAATAATGGTCACATGACCGAAAATATAAATTTCTATATATAATTTCTATATACTCGTATATATATACAATAGTTGAAGCGGACTGTGTCTGAGATTTATTTCTCGGTGGAGATTTAGATATTTTTTATTAAAGGACAACTGCCCTGCTAAGGTAATAACGCGAACTAACCTCTTGATGGTTATTCCCAGAAGATAAATTGGAAAAGAAAAATCCGACTGCCTGTACCTAAGGCCTGTACGATTGCCATGTTACAAGATATTAGGAGTTTTGTTGGGACTAAAAGGGAAGTGATAAGGAAGAAATTATTTAAAAAAGGAACGCTGTGAATCGAAAATCATCTACTAAAATACTGTTAATTATATATATAACTAGCTGGTGCCCTCGACTTCGTCTGCGTAGAATATAACTACTTCTAGTAGCCTACTCATATTTTCAGATCCTTTACTTGAGAAATGATTGTTTCTCCATACAAACTTTCATTTATATTTGTGACAAAAAGTTGCATAGATCCTTTTCCTAGGTCCCATCTATCTCTATACCAAAATTCATCAAATTTAGTTCAGTGGTTTAGGCGTGAAAGCGTAATAACTATCTAAAACTTCTGAACTAAAATAACTGAGTTACTTTCGCATTTATAACTTTCATTAGGGTTTTTTTTTGCAAACGACTTCAATATCTGGTAGTGACACTTACTCAAAATTTGCAGCGGCATACAAACAATTCAGATGACTCAGCATGACTCCCTTGGGTAGTCCTGTAGTTCCCGAAGAGTACAGAATGAATACCGTGTCATGCCAACCCTCTACATCGTCGGCCTCAAACTCATTCACATTTGCCTGAACAATTATGCTGCTGAGTGGTATCACTCCCTTTGCTACTGGTGTTCCGTTAAATTGTATCACTTTCTTTATAGAGGCGACGTTACTAAATGTTTTTAAGTTCTGGCTCAAAGCCGATTCTGAGCCAAGCACTATGCTTGGTTTTGATATGTTCAGGACATGTATCATTTCATCTGAAACACACAATTAGGAACTGTGAATGAGCTTGCAACTTTTTTTTACATTAGAAACAGACGTGTTTATTTAAAAAATATTTATTCACTATAGCCTTTTAAAATTAATACTAAAACATTCTACTCATCACGATTAACTAAATGGGCTGTTTTAACGCTCACTCTTTGCCTAATATAATATAATAATGTGCCTAAGTTGGTACCTCACCTTTTGAGTACTGCATATTGGTGGTGGTGATAGTTGCGCCACAACACACGGCCCCAAGAGCAGCAGCAATGTATTCATCCCTATTTTCACTGCAGAATGCCAATACATCGCCTCGTTTCACCCCCAGTTTCCTTAATCCAGTCGCTGTGTTCACTGTGTCTTGGATAATTTTGCTGTATGTGGTTTTATGGCCGGTTTCACCGTTGATCTGCAATTTTTTTATAATAGCGTTGACACTACACGAATTTCTCCGATCTGCGTTGCGCCAGAGTTGGATTATACATATTAATTACTATTCTACTGATGTAGAAGAGGGAAAAATCCTGTTATCCAAAGGTAAATGGATTAACAAATAAAAACCCCTTAAAGGGCATAAAACGAGAAAAAAACAACAGGAGTGTGATAAACACTTATCCCAATTTATAGCCTTTTTGTGGAGCCTGTAGAACCTTAAGAGCACCTTGTGGCGGCTTCTTTTCATCGTAATGTTTTAGTTGCTCATTATAACGTTGTGAACGCTTTTTGTACAACGTTTAATGGTACGAAATACTTCCGATTAATTTACGAGAGAGATTTCAGTTTGTACCAGACGGGGCTCAAGTTTGGTTTCTCGGTAAGTATATCACCACTTAACCCTCATTACGTGAATTGAAATTGAATTTAATTGAAAAAGTAAGTAACTTCACAGGTACCTACTTAATAGACGTACGGAACTTTGGCAAAAAACCCGTAACATTGCATAAGAAACACACAGTCAGATGAATTTTCGAAAGATAAAGGTCAAGAGTTCACAGAATTTCTTATCTTCCCACGTATGTTGGTAACGTTCTCTTTATGTCCTTACCAAAGCCACCATGTCTTCCCGTGAGTTTTCTCTTAATTTGTCAATCATATATTGCCCAAAATTCAAATGGCCGGGTACTGGCAACGCGGGTCCCCCGGACACCACCTTGTTGATAATTTTCACAGACGAAGTCATCGGTAATGATTTCTTACTCTGTAAATGGAATATGTTATATTTTCAAGTCTTACTTACTTATAAGGATAATGTGGTAGAGCGGGCTGGTCATTTTTTTATTAATTTCATTCAATAATTTTTCATTATTATGATTCCGTGAATATTTAAATATATACATAAAGAAACAAAAACTGTTGTGCGAAAAATGCACATCTTTTACTTAGTAATGAGTTAATAACACACAATTTTTCTTAAAAATAATTTAAAACGTTATTACAAACGTACTTTTTGTAACGTCTAACACACAATGAAAATCAACGAATACTAAATGTAAATTCTCGACAGCTATTACAAGACAACTACTTATCATTTTTAATAAATTGGGTATTGTAAGATAAAAGCAAATAAGACACCAACTACAATAATAGTAAATACCTCTATAAGTATTTAGATGGTACAGTGAACCGTTTGCTGTTTATCAGATACCTAGTGTTAATGTTGATTTGAGCACACGTATTATCATGTGAACAATTATGATCGTTTGTATATATTATATCAGAGTGTAACCTATACAACCTACTTATCTACGTTACTGGATGACCTTGACTTCTACTATAGTACTTTGTACCCATACTTACTTTACATAGAGGACTTTAGTATTTAACATCGTATGTGGTTGAAACACTTACCGTGAGACGCCAAAACAAAGAAGATTAAATAAACGTTTAGGTATTTTTATCAGTAAAGATTAAAACAAAAGATCTTATGATGATGATCTTAAAAATAACTAGTAACAAACTCGGCTACGAAAGCAACTGCGTATGAGCAACCGGTCTATTCGTTAAATGACACAAACTGAACTGAGCTGAGTACAGCAACCAAGGAATATACATTATAGGCCTGTATGAATCAATACACGAATGCCGTAATGCGACGTTCGTTGACTATGCGAGAAATTGTATTTTATTCCAGGCGCTATAAACAAGTCACAAGAACTGTGCCGGTTTTACGTATGGTGCAAGGTTTGAGGCGCACAAGAACAAAGGGTTTAAGGGGGCCACGAACGACTCCCGCGACGCTTTCAAAGACCTGTTAATTGCACCATTTACAATGCACCCATATTTCCCATCACTGGGGAAAATATTCCATTTTGATCGAGTGCCTACTAGAAGGCGTCTGGATTAACTGCACCCAGGCCAGAAGGCGCTACATGGGCTAGGCATGCCATTAGGTTGTTTGTGGAAAAATGCACCAAAAGCCGAGTTTTCATTATACGAGTACGTGTGGACCGAGTCCGGACGACTACTAGCAGTATACATATACAGTGAAGTACTGCCACCTTACCAATTTTTGCCGCCAAGCAGTAATGTTAGCATTATTGCATTCCGGTTTTGAAGGGTAAGGGAGCTGGTGAAATTACAGGCACATGGGACTTATTAACTTATGTCTCAGGCTGAGGGGCGCAGTGGCAGTGCCCCTTAGATCTTTGCGATTTAAAGCTCTGAGTGGCACTGCAACTGTTATGGACATGCGTGCAAATAAAGTATTTTATCTGGAGCCGTGGAGTATGTAGGAGTTAATGAGTTAATGAGAAATATTAAATAGGGTAAGAGCACCAATGGCCAGCCAGGATCCTGTAGTCAGCCTTTTGCGTCTTTAATTCCTTATAAATAGCGGTCTTTTTAGAATTTACAAATCGCAAGTTGATAAATTTAAGCTTTGATTCTTCATTGGTCAATACATTACGCGACTAGCGCGGTAAGAGGTCAGAAGCAGAAATAAACTCGATTATACAGGTGCCGTCAGTCGCCAAAAGCTTTTGCGCCATGTCCGCCATTTTTTTTCTCAGCAAGTGGTGTTCTCATAACAGGTAACAAAAGTTATGTTTCGATGTTAAAAGCGACTGTTTTTCTCCCCTTGTGTGTTACTAATTAGTTTATCTATTCAATTTCATTAATTCTGTAATAATTTATTATCTCCTAATTTACGTGCAAATTGAGGGGGCTGGCTACTGGAGACTTCGCTTTTTATATGAAATCCAATGCCTAGCCTCCAGGGGCAGACTTTTGGGTTAATCGTGTATTTTTCAAATCATGACAAAAATTCTATCGTTAAACCGTTACAATAAAATGTTCCAATTTAACTTAACATTCCCTGTACAGTTTTGTGAAAAACCAGCAGTCAGCCCCATTTGAAAATATTTTTTTAATAAGGCTGACCACTGGGTTTTGCGGTATCAGTGTCCAGTCGTCCCTTATTATGTAGGTAGGTATGGGTATTATATTTATTATTTAACGATATTATAGGGTATCTTTATTATTTTTAGTAAAAAATGGCACCAAGACCGATACACTCGTATCTCATATATCCGTTGATTTTACATTGTATAATTATTGTTGATTTTGATCTCATTCTTATTGTAAGTGTTAAGGCTGAGTACAGGGTACACAGAGGCTGTTTTATTGGATTTTAGAAGCTGACTACTGGGAAAAACTGCCGTTTTTTCTATAAACCTAAATTTATATTTATTCTGTACTGATATTATTATCAGTACAGAAGATTTTTATTTGTTACATTATTTACATATTATTTATATTAAAATTACAATAAATGGTTGATCAAACATTGTGGTACATTTGTCTGCCCTACTCTGTACAAATAACTAAGATTCAAAATTGAAATTTCCGTTAAAAAGCTGACTACTTGATGCCTTTACCCTAGTTAAAAATAGCATATTTTTATTGACTTTTCGCATATGGCTGCAATCATTTATATTTAAACTATTTCTCCCTAAATCGTCATCGGCGAATGACATTGCACCCCCGATTAAACTTACCCAATCATTGAACACTTTCAAAAGAAAGTGTAAGCAATGCCTACTTAACGTACAGAAATCACAATGTAGCTGGACTAAATTGTTATCGTAATTGCATTATAACGTAGCAAATCGTTCCTTTATTTTAAGTTTCTTCTTAAATCTACTCGTGTCCTCATAGAAATAATAAATCAATTTTAAGCATGACCTATAAATTTCAAATGTAATTCTTGTGAAGTTTGACAATTCTCAGCAATGGACGTCCATGTATGAAGATGGAACCTGAAAAGCAGCAGTCGTGCTAAGGTTCCATCCTATTCATTGGCACTAGAGTCCACATTTCCGAAACTCTTTACTGTTAACCTTTTTATTGTAAATGTGCTTATGAATAAATGTCTTGTTATTATTATATTCCTCCATTACGCGGTGGACTGCTAAGCGGACTGCAATAGGTACAGGATAACGAATGCCCCCTTTAGGACCGTGAATAAATTTTCCCTTTGCAAATAAAAACAGAAAAACATTTTTTGTTTTGTTTCTGACACTGTTTTTTATCATGTTTTTCTGTTGCTTTCTATCAGCCAGCCAGTGATGTCTCAAATATAGTGTAAAAAAAATATCGGGTTTTTGAAGTTACGTGTATAGTTTTTACAAAGATTATTTTATTTTAAGTATATTATAAAGAAAAAACGAAGAAAGAAATAGTGATGAAGAAAGTTAAAACTATATCCCGTATTTTAAACTAAATTTCAAGACTTTATCCTGAAAACTCCACTAATTACGAATTCAAAGTTATTGTTCAAAGTTATAGAAGATAATGCGATTTGAGTGAAAGTAAAACATAAATATTGACTCCTGCCGTTTAAAAGATTATTTAATAAACCCAAATAAATGAACTAAGTTATTTAAGACAAAGTTAAAACATAATGTATTAGAATTTAAAACTACAATGGCAAATATTACTGAGGATCTCGATAATTAAACGAAGACATGGCTCTAACGACTTGTATCCAAGCCAAAACTATTAATAAAAAAAAAAACAAATATAGTGTTTGATCCATAGATTTAGTGTATAAAATCTATAGTATGATCTTTGCAATGCTTGCAGTGATGTTTGAAAGTTACTGCATGAGTTTCTGTTGGTTTCTGTATATCTTGCTTAATTTTGGAATTTACTAATATAGCTTGTCAAAATGAGATTAACACAAATATTAAATAGACAGCACATCGGTTTTATGTTCAAGAAGCACTGGTTAGTCCAAGGGAAACCTGTACCTATCAATACAAAAGTAGAGGAATATTTGAAATCAAAAGGCATTCCTGTGGAAGATGCTCTAGAATTCGTGAAGGAAAAACCGGAACCACGCGAAAGGTGAGTTATTTATCTTGTTCGTTAAAGTTTGTCGTTAATAAAAACGAAATATAGTAACTTAACCTAACATGTTCCTGAAAACGGCTACAACCCCGAAAAATATTTTTAATTGAATTATTACAGAATTGAAATAGTAGGACCCCATGAATCATCAATATTGTTGGATAAGGACCACCCATACTACAAAGAAAAGCCATGCTACACATTAAAACACACTAATGTTTTACTGGAAGGCATATCACAGGCCCAAGTCCTCACAAAAACCATAATAGCCGAAGATAAATTGCCTCAGAAGATTGAAGAAATGGCGGCGATACCTGCACCTAAAGCAATTCATGAGAATGTGAAGAAGGCCATACTATCAGCTAATGTCTTTGACTGCGAACAGAAGAAATTACCAAAGATCAAGGACCCTGAGAGGCCTGCCTATAATTTTCCTAGAATTTTGGGTATTTCAGATAAAAGACGGAAGTGAGTATGATGATGAATTAGTGCATGTTTATTAACCCACTTCAAAAAAAGGATGAGGTTCTCAATTTGACTATGTATTTTTGGATGTATGTTACTTGATAACATTTGTGAAGAGATTTTGGTGATTCTTTTTTGTTAGAAAGAGGGTACTTCAGTAGTGGTCCCATTTAAACTTGAAGAAAATATTCAATCTCTAAGGGTGGCTAAACTAAACTAGGGGATGAATAACTTTGAAGATCTGTTTTTATTAGTACTCTGTACTGAGATTATTAACTAACTGTGCATGTGTTTTCATATGCTCTAACACATACCCATGTTAGGTTGTTAAGTTGTAAGGAGAAGAAATGTTTCTTTCTTATATAAAATTACATATAGGATCAACTTGTTATGCCTAATAAGTAGACTTAGCCTTTAATTCTTAATTTAATTTTGTCATTAGTTTTGTGGTTTAAATTTCAGCTAAGACTTTTTTGGAAATTAACTAAGTAACTTTTTAGTAGTAGACTATTTCATCTCACCATTTGATATGTATGATGTATGATGTATGTTGAGTGCAAGAGACACGCTTTGATATATATATTACCAAGACATTTTTTATTTGTCATCTTATTTAAATGAAACAAATACTACCCTTTACCCTTCCCAATACCCTTCTCAATATGCCACTATAAAACACATTTAAATTAGTTAAGCTATTGTGGAGTTTAGCATGCGCAAGTGCACAGATAAACAGACAAATATTCTATAAACATGTTTTTAAGTAGTGTGTCTTCAGTACAAAACTTTGACTTACATAAAAATATTACAAGTACAGACTCAGGTACCAAACTGTTATGTTCACCCATTGGTTTGTTGCTGTTGACAACATGTGTTGCAGGTTATAACTACAATCAAGCAATGACTTTGTGTTGATGAGTATTTAATTCTATTCTATTTATATCTGTTCGCTTTTTTAATTTACAATGGTCTTTGGATTATTTCAGTGAAATTATTACCAACAAATTACTTCACTTGATTGAAAGAAGCAGTGACATAGAAGCAACTCAATCTAAATACATTGTGAATGATGTAGAATGTCAATCGGTGTTTAACAAAGATGATGAATTAATACAATTCCAAGAAGTTTCTAATATATTAGTCACTAGTAACAATCCAGTCCAACATGAGTTGAATGAGAAGGACATATCATTTATTGAAATACCCGACTTGTACCCTGTGAAGCATACTATTACTTTGCCAAAGGAACATTTTTACGGAAGCAGTAAATACCGTAAGTATTAGCTTTTTGAGTTCAACTGCAGAATCTTGAGCCTACCAGCAAGTGTAACATTTCACAAGAACCATTACCACTCTGCTATAGAAATTCATAACCCTTGCTTACCTCAGGAGTATAAGACCAAGGTCTATTATTACTATTAAGGAGCCTTTGCAGGATCTGGTGCAGCCTTGTATCACTGCAGGCAGTTATTAACTTACCTTCTGAGGCAAGACCTACAGAATTAAAGAACTAGGATATACTGCAAGGCAAATTTATCAATGTATATTTTATACTATTGCAATTCAAATAAGGTATAAATTGCAATGCTCCGAGACGCGGACAGACATGCGCCGCAGTGCCTCAAAGTCGATTTTGAAGAGCATTGCAATTTATACCTTATTACAGTAAAAATAGCATAAAAAAATATATTGCTAAATTTAATGTTCTCTACTTCCCGTCTGCCGGTTTGCACTGGCCCAAAGATCAAATTATTTTTACCTCTGGTTTTATCTCCCAGTTTTGTATGCTCATCAGTGAGCAACTTTCGCGTATGAAATGCAAGGGCGTGTCTGCGTCATGTCTTGTCAAGTCTTAGAATTGGATAAGTGCTTATTAAAACCAGCATTTAGGGAAAGCCTGCCTAGTATTCAATGCTGCATCAAGTGTTCGAGATAGCCAGGTGGCTTTGTTGCGCTGATGCTTGAGAGTAGACTTACCTTAGCTATACTTCATTCTTTTCAGCTTTTGCATGCTCAAACAAAGTTTAGTGAGAAATTTTGAAATCTATAGATTTCGGAAACTAATCTATGTTTTCATTTCTAGAATTCATTAAAAGGTTTTGAAAATGTATAAGATATATTTCTGCTATACCTCAGGCCGTCTTAGCGATGGGCGAGTATAGTTATTTAACTCGGTAAACTCGAGTTACTCCTATAACGAGTCAACTCGAGTTACTCCTATAACGAGTCAACTCGGTTACTTTTTCATGAACTCGAGCTAACTCGATTAACCCGCCCCGCCCGCCGCCCAACCGAATATTTCATTCATACAGCGCGTCCGTGACTTTCGGAGCACGGTCGAATCGCGAGCGATGATGGGCGAGTCGAATTATTTAACTCGAGTTACTCCCACAACGAGTCAACTCGAGCTGCGGTTCCCGCCGAGTCGCATTTTTCACTCATACAGCGCGTCGGCTATTCGTTCTCACTCCGTCGGTTCGATGACCTTCGATCACGTGCGAGTCGGGTCGGGCCGTCGATCGTGTCCAACTCGGTGAATCGTCGGATCGAGTTTTACTCGCGGTTGCTCTGTCAGACACATAGTTGAGTTAACTCGAGTTAGCAGTCACGTCAACTCGAGTTAAAATAAATACAACTCGTCCCATCGCTAGGCCGTCTACTGCTTAAAGCTATACGCCGCACCGCTAAACTACCTTGACCATGCGCCATACCTACTTCTACTACGACTCCGTGTGTTTTGCCAAATTATAGTCGTCACCAAATAAGAGGCAAAATTTGACAGCTAAAGAAGGCGATACTACCTAAGTAACTTTGAATGCGATTCAGGGGGTCTACTCTCGATCTCCGTCCGAAACAATTACTGTCAAATAAGTAATATTCGACAAAATTAAAAGACAAGTGTCAAGTATGAAACTTCATTCGCATCACGCGTCTTCTCATTCTTTCGGTAGCAGCAAGGTATTTATTTTTAGATGAATCTTTGCTGGACGTAATGCTGTTGTGGAGATCATACCTGGGGTACAATTTTGAGTTACCCCGAAACGTCCTGAAAACAGTTACGTCCTCAAGCTATTAAAAAAAAATAGTACTGTAAGCAATTAATCGCCGAATTTCACCGAGTCACTTCGATTTCTGGGAAAAAATATTAAAAAATATATTGGAAGAAATTGTGAACATTATTTGAGATTGTTTGTTGTTGACATTGACAACTTGTAACTTATTGCCAGCCGAATAATTGAAACTTTATGAAATCCTTGATTTCTAGGTAATTTTTTCATGTTTGATGCATTGTCGGTTACGACATATACTACTTTATCGAATATTTCCCATTCTGTCATAATTGTCCTCAAAGCGTTGGCAATATTTAATGCAGTGTGTTGTTCGCCAAGTTCTGATGTTGATATCACCATGGAATGTAATTTTGATTTCAGTATAAAATGTACAGTTATACTAAGGAAACTCTTTTGACTATCGGAACTCCATAAGTCAGTGGTCAAGGCTATATCGTGTACAATTTTTAATTTTTCTTTTACTTCTGCACTACATATTTTATATCTTTCGTCTATCATTGGAGTAAATTTTTTTCGTGATGGTAATTCGTAATCTGTATTTAATTTTTGTGTATATTTCTTAAAACCTTCATTTTCAATTTGAAATGGTTGCATATCTATAACTATCATATCCATTAGAGCTTCGTCTACCGATTTTTTATTAATTTTGGTCGGGGCAGTAAGACGCATCTGTCTTGGTCGCTTCGGCGCTGGTTCGTTGATCTCTGTAATGATCGGTGTTTGGGATTGTAAAATATTACTCTGACTTGATGGCAACATTACTTCAACTGGTGTTTGTTCTTGAGCTTCACTGTATTGAATGATGTTTTTTTTTTCAAATGGCTTATTAAGGTCGACGTATTTCTTATAAACTTATAACTACATGCACATAATTTACAAATAACTTTACACCCATCGTCAGTTTTAGTAAAAAACTCCCACGCAACGCTTTTCTTAGGAGGCATTTTCAATACTTATACAATTGCCGACAAAGGAGAATCAACATAAAAACGTTGCCAGCTGGGGAATCACCGATTGGTTGTCTGCAATTCGGATCGTATCGTGATTCGTATGACGTAAACACGACGTAAATCGTGTGATAATTCGATCTCAGTCTAACCAATAGTTCGGTCCCTCCGCACGATTGGCCGATTGGTCGCCGAACCGACCGAATGAGAACGAGTAGCTGACGCGCTGTATGAGTTAAGTATTCAGATCGGCGGGAACCGAACCGAGCTAGCTCGAGTTACCTCGTGGCAGTAACTCGAGTTAATTATCTCTACTCGCCCATCGCTCGCGACTCTAGCGTGCTCCGAAGGTCGCCGAACCGACCGAGTGAGAACGAATAGCCGCTGCGTATTGCGATGTGTGATTGAAGTATTCGACTCGGCGGGGCGGGTACCGTACCGTACCGAGCTAGCTCGAGTTAACAAAAAAATAATTCGAGTTGACTCGTTGTGGGAGTAACTCGTGTTAATCAAGTTAAATAACTCGACTCGCCCATCGCTAGACGTCATAGCGAGTACATAAAATAAGGCACGCTTGGTTTTCATACAAATTGCTGTACTTGCGGAGTCTATCTAGATATATATATGTCTGTGATTGTTATACTAATAAATCGTGGATATGACGATCAGTCGTGACCATAGGACCTTTGTTTTATAACATCAAGTGACGGGACGAACAAGTCGTGCGCCTGGTGGTAAGCTACACGCCTGTCCATAACAGTTACAGTGCCATTCAGAGCTATAAATTGCAAAGATCTGAGGATAACTACCATTGCGCCCGTCACCCTGAGACATAAGTTGACAAGTCCCGTGTGTCTGTAATTTCACCAGCACCCTTACCATTTAAGACTGGAACACAGTAATGCTGACATTATTGCTTATCGGCAGAAATAGGCAAGGTGGTAGTTACTACTACTGGACGAACTCTTTCACAAGGAGCTCTACTGCTACTAAAACTGTAAAGAACCCGAAACTTGAAACTATTTTTCAGATTTAAATATACGCGATAATAGATCCGAAAAATAGTTTTATTTTCTATCTTAGTAATCTGCCTAACAGCCACACCAATCACCTGATCTGAAACTAGGAAATTCCCTGTACTATGAGTACCAGAGCAACCGAATTTACACTGACGCACTTAACCCTCAGGGTTATATCAGTCATATAACTTTGACTTTTCCAGCAATTCATCCAACAATCACTATGAGGCATCCCCACACCACATGGCTGCATTACAACAGTACAGAAGTGAACAACGTCTATGAGACTCCAGTCACACCTACCCAGATCCTCGGCAGGTCATTAACACACGCATTTGCCGTCGCCACAGCTTACGCCAAACAGTTGCATGGGGTAAGATTTGTATGATGTTATAATGTATATATTTAATGTGTTTAAAAAAACTAACAGGACATTGTCATTTTTACTTAGCAGAGAATATAGAAATAACGTATGGTTATTTAAACAAATCTCTTCTTCATCCACATTGGTGGATAATATATTTATTTACTTTTGGGAAGATGTATAGCAATATAGTGGCTAATATTGAGTAAAAAAAAATGTTAATTTATATAACTAGTGGTAAATACCAACTACTTAACATAGAAAGATGAACAAAGTTATGTATGACGCTTGGCAGTAAGGTTTTTAAGGAATATTGGCGACAATAGTTTTTTTTTATCTAAACTAGAATGTAATTATGCAGGTTTGTCCACGTTCTTATTCCGCTTTGTACACGAGCCGACTGTAAAGTGTCCTAAGTCCATGAATACTCATAATCGAAATGAACCTTTTTCAAATACCTAATAATCGTTATACAGAGTGTCCAGTAAAAAATGGATAAGCCTGAAATACCTTGTAGTAGAGCTTATGAATATTAAAAAAATATATATAAAGAAAAATATATCCCATGTAGTACCTAAGATATATATTTTTTTTCTTTAAATTTAATTATTTTCACCATATTTTACGTTTTTGTACACCACGACTACAAGTTAATCAATTTCTTCGGTTTTTTGGTGTCATAATATTCTACATTAACTGTGCTAATAGATAGGCAGTAAATAGTATGACTATGGCACTTAAATTTAAAAAAAGTTTTGTTTTATTTTTCAGTGCAATTTTTTTTTTTCACAAAGATTAAGCATCTTTGATATAAACAAAAATTATGAGAACCTGAGTAGCCAACCATTCTAAAATAATGTGTCTTTAAAGTAGATTTATTTCCTGAGCACTATGCGGTCCCTGTTCGAGGATATTTGAATAGAACATACCCAGACAGATGGATCGGCCGTCTGGGGCCAATTTTATGGCCTCCGCGTTCACCGGACCTATATCCACTGATTTTTTTTATTGGGGCTGCCTTAAGGAAATTGTGTATGGTAAGCCGATCAGGTCCTTGGAAGACTTACGTAGCCGTGCCAGTGCAGCCGCTGCAACAATAAGTGAACGACGATATACGCGGCTACTCAGAAGGGCTTTTATTCGAAGATGTAGAGCCTGCATCAGGGTCTCTGGCAAACAGTTTGAACATTTGCTGTAAGTGAACAAATTGTAAATAGTTGTATTTATGTCTAATATTGTTTTTTTTATGAAACCTCAATGGTCAAGCTCAATTCAAGACAAAAAATGGTCCAATTTTGAAAACTTAGTTTTTAGTCAAATTTACTCCTTTTGCACATTAATAGCAATAATTTTCTATTTATATTAGATACAATAATGAATCATACCATTTTGAAATCTACTTTAAACACACATTATTTTAGAATAGTTGGCCACTCAGGTTATCTTTTTTTTGTATCAAAGATGCAACCATTGTGAAAAAAAAATTGCAAAAAATAAAATAAAACTTTTTTTTGTTTAAGTGCTATAGTTAGTCATACTATTTACTGCCTATCTATTAGCACAGTTAATGTAGAATATTATGACACCAAAAAACTGAAGGAATTGATTAACTTGTAGTCGTGGTGTACAAGAATGTAAAATAATTAAATTTAAAGAAAAAAAAATCTTAGGTTCTGCATGGGATATATTTTTCTTTATACTTTTTTTTTAACGTTCATAAGCTCTACTATAAGGCATTTCAGGCTTATCCATTCTTTACCGGACACCCTGTAGATGGGATACGAATTGAGATCTTATAAATAAATAATTTTTATTTTATTTTTTTTCAGGAAAATGTTAAAGATTTACCAGAGCCGGTCTATATAAATTGTATTCAAACAGACGGTCAAAAATACCACTTTGGTATATTACAATTGAATACCTTGAATGTTGATGGCACTGAAGGTACCAAAAACGTTTGGTATTGTAAGAATGACATGGAGCTCTATGGTTCTAGCAAATATCTCAGTGCCTTGCCAGTACTGGAAAACTATAACCCTAAAGTATATGAATACATCAACGCTTTCTACAACTGTTAGTATGTATTATATGTGCAATATTTAGTTCAGTACATTCATAATAATAATGTGTATCAGTAGGACATTCTTTTATTTGACTAGTTGAAACGCCATGTGTGAGAAGTAAAGCAGTATGTAATGTATTCATGTGTATAACCCTTTATATTTACAAGAACATAAATACATTTATTTCTTTCTGATTAGAATACACAATGCTTACAAGTACCGAAACACTTTGTACATTAAATAGTAAGTTTTGGAGAGTGGAACAAAGTTCGTTAAACATAAGCTCATTTATCCATAGCAAATTTCTGCAGTCGACGTCTTCGCAGCTCCTCGGCGTCCGCATCAGTCTTATCTCTGAAAGTAAATGAAAAAAATTGCAAAGCATGTATTGAATTTCTTATGTCTCGTTTGTTTAAGGATATTTTAGAAAGTTAAAAGCAAGTTTTGTTATTGCCACTTCTCATTGTTCTCTTCTTGTCTTGTCTCATTGCTTTGAATTTATAACAATATATTATATTTTCTAACTATTATTATAGTATTAAATTTACTATTTTCTCAGTCATCATAAATGCTTGCGATTTTGACCATCTTTGTCATAATAGTCTACAAATGTACCTACATACACGAGTCTTTTATTACGAATAACTCTGGGCTTGTTTAAAAACGATAACGTAACGTGGTTTTTAGCAGTTGTTAAATTTTTGTTATTTTGTTTTATACCATTAAAAAAATGATTATTAGCTTCGTATTCTAAATTGGTCAAGGATTCGTACAACCTGACGTTATAACTTGGACCTTTTCAAAGCGAAAGTGAATAGGCATTATTTAACGTCGACCTCATCGTCACTTTCCACCAGGTGAGATGGTCAAATACGCACTTATTTTTTATAAAAAAAAATACAAATTTAAGCTTTGGCAATGATTTTATACTTAATTTAAAAAAGAATAGATTTATTATTAGCATTCGCATTGTGAAGATTCGGAAATGCCCTAATTGGGGCTTCTTGCAATCTGTCTGCGTCGTCGTTGAGCAAAGGCACGATCGTGATTTCTGAAATGGTATCTTATTACAGGGTATTCTGCGACTAGAACGTCGACTCCACAGATGCTGTTCATGCTAGTTATACTGAAGCTCCTAACTGTATCAATAATAACATATTATACAAGGTTACCGTAACTAAAAGCCAAATGAAAAAAACTTTAAAGCGTCTGGATATAAATAAGGGAGCCGGTCCAGATGGCATACCGCCCCTTTTTCTGTCTAGGACTGCCAATAGACTAACCCTGCCCTTGATGTTGTTGTATAATAGATCGCTTCACGATGTTGTTTTCCCAACTGTTTGGAAGAAGACTAAAATAGTTCCTGTGTACAAAGCTGGTGATAAAACAAATATTACCAACTATAGACCTAGTGTTCCCCAAAGTATTAGAGGCTCTGATCTGTCTAATGTGGTGGCACTTAAAACAGTTATTATCGGTCAATCAACATGGGTTCGTCAAGGGGAGATCGGCCGCTACAAATCTGGGGGTCTACTATCGCTCTCCGTCCGACATCCGTCCGAAACAATTGCTGTCAAATAAGTAATACTCGAACAAATCAAAAGACAATGTCAAGCATGAAGGTTCTTTCACATTATGCATCTTCTAATTTGGTGGAGTATTACTTATTTCACAGTAATTGGTTCGGACGGAGAACGGGGGTAGACCGCCTGGTTATGTATGATGAGAACCTTATGGAAGCGGTTAATTCGTGCACACAAGTTGATGTTTACACAGACTTTTGTAAGGCGTTTGACACAGTAAACCACAGCATATTCATACATAGATTGCAAATTTACGGAGTTTCGGATCCTCTTCTGGGTTGGTTTCGGTCATATCTGTCGCAACGTGACTTAAGAGTTGTATTAAATGGACTTAGTTCAAGACCGTACGAGTATCTGGCATTCCACAGGGATCTCATTTGGAGGCTTTACTTATTCAATCTTTTCATTAATGATGTGGATCAATGTTTTCTTTATTCTGATCTGTACATGTTCGCTGACGACCTAAAAGCTATTAAATCGATTAGGAACGATACTGTTCTTTCTATCTTGTTTCAGGATAGATTAACTGTTTGGTGTAATCGGAATAAAACGACACTCAATATAAAAAAAGTGCAAACATATTAAATTTACTCGTAATCGCAATATTAAACAAACAGTATAAATTGTGCGACGAAGTTCTTACCGAAATTGAGGAAATTCGCGATTTAGGTATCCAAATAGATTCTCAACTAAGATTTAATAATCATATGTGTGTACTAAAGGCTTCTAAAATGCTCGCATTCGTATTAATGGAGTGTAGAAGTTTCAAAAAATCTCATAGATAGATAGATAAAACGTTTATTTGGATCTACGGAAAAATATGTAATACAATAGAGAAAAAAAAACAGCAGAGTCGCAGCACTGCCGAACACCCAGTTATGTATGTGTGCTGTAGCAGCGCAAAAAGACCATAGCTCAGCGTCGGTGTTTACTCAGGAGCAAACCGCTGATTTTCAGCTATAACCTAGAGGATTCCGCGGATACGATAACCAGCTAGCTGACGCCATTTTCATGTTGTATAAATGAAACAGAAAGAATTGTCTCAGGCATTATTGATTGCCCTGGTCTACTCTCTAAATTAAGACTTCCTTATCCTGCGACAATTGCCGAGGCCTGGTTGTAATAGGCTCTTCCACAGGCCAAGATGTCGCACAAATTTGAGGCTACATTGTTTCTTATCACGAGCAATAACACTGTATAAGGAGTATCAGAGTGAAATTGATCTAAATTGTATTTCAGTTTCTATGATAAAGAAAGTGGTGTGATAAGTTTATAGTTATGTTTATAATGGTTGTACTTTTGTATCGTCATGCCTAACCAAATATTATTGTATTTCTCTTAGTGCATGCTGTGCCCTCCTTTAAGTGATGGGACACTTAGGGTCGTATTCTAGAACTCTACTCAATGCTCAAGTCAGGATTTGAGTATGGTTTAAAGCTCTCGAAATCATACTCAAGTCCCTGCCATTAGGGTCGTATTTCCAGTGCTTGTGTTTCCAGTGCAATCCTGACTTGAGCATTGAGTAGAGTTCTGGAACACGACCCTTAGTTTAAAATCATAGTGTCTTTATACCTGCATAATTATAGTGTACTCATTGTTGTGAGCCTGATTAAATAAATAAATAAAAATAGAATTGATTAAATCAACACATACATTGAATCTTACCCCATTAGTCAAATCTTGTAAACTCGATTATGATGGCGCTGGAATAATACATTTATTCTACGTTACGTTTTGATAAGTCCAAAATTTACCTGTCAGAGTCCAAAATTTCAAAAGTGGAGGAATCGGCCTCGAACTCGTCTTTTAAAGCTCTGCTCGTAGAGGGCACGGGCGAGTGCGACGGCGACGTTTTGACGTTCGCAGACGTGGTCTGCGCTACTTCGGGCTCCACTTTCACCTTCGCAGGCGACGGCTCAGGTTCTGTTCGTCTGTATGATACATAATTAATTTGATAGACTGTGAATTTATACTACTTTTTAATTTCTAAATAATAGCACTAATTACAAGTTTATTATGATCTAACTTCGATTAATTATCACGAAACTCTGAAAATTTGTATTGTTATTTTGTTTCTGACAGACAGAAAAAAGAGATGCACATATACCAGATTTTTGTCATCTCTATCGCGTCATATCATATAATGTGTAAGGCAAATATGTATAATTGAAGCATTGGGAACAACATGGACGCTCGGCACTTAAAGCCCGTTTTGATGTTATTGCATCAAAACATGTGAAACACTATCTAGTATCTTGTGACAAGAACTTATTCGATTCTCCCTTCTAGATAGCATAAGTTCCATTCATTTAGAAGGTGGCACTCCGCACTTGTTGCATAGATTATAAATGTGCGTTTGAATTTCGGACCACTTGCAGTTTCTAAAAACCTATTTTAATGTAAAGAAATGTCTGAAACGAGCGACTTCATCCTCAACATGGAGCATCTAGGAGGCCAATGAGACCTGCTGCAGATGATTCTATAGATTCATTTCAATCCAGCTAATTTAATGAATGATTAAAAATACTTTTAATTTTTTTCAATGTAACTTTTAAATAAGACTGACTCACAATGTATTTCCTTAAAAATCAAAAATAAAACAAATGCCCTGTTCATTTACCGGTTGGTGCAATAAGGGCAGATAACACAATAAAAAAAAAAATGTTTCTTATTGTTTTAAAATAATAATAACACTCGAATCTTTAAATTTTTCGAATCTCTTGTACGTGATACGCGCTTGTTACACCGAATGCTTCAGTTAATGATGATGAATTTAAAAAATAGATATTAATTAAATATTGTAAAACTCCAATAAGTAGAAAATACTTTTATTGCAACACGTTGACAATTATCTCTGAGATCACAAAACGCATTTAGGGATTATTTACCAGGTGGTATGTCTAATCTTACTAATTATGCTTTCAATTTCTGCCTTCGGTCAGTAGCGCACATCCCCACAGACTGCGGAATAAAAAACATAAGTATCCTGTGCCACATAACTAATGTAACTTAAAATTAAGAGCAGTAGCCACGGTGAGGCAACAAACGCTGGTTCGATTCCAGTCAGATCGAAGGAACTTTTCTTTGTGTTTCTTCGATCTATGTATCAATAATACTAACCTGACAATGTTCAAATAAACGGCGCAGGCTGTTTTGGGGTCTGGCTTTAATAGAGGTGATAGTTTATATCGCGCATATCAACCACTCTTGAGGATAAACCTTTAGAATACCATTGAAGGCGATCAGTATCGATCTCTCGTTTCGTGATATAATCTCTGTATAGAGTACTAAAAAACCGACCTCAAAAGTTCGTGGAATCCAAATCGGTTAACAAATGCCCGAGTTATGGAGTAACATACATAAAAAAAAGAAAAAACATACAGAAGAATTGAGAACCTCCTCCTTTTTAGAAATCAGTTAAAAAGCAACTCAAAAGTACACATTATACTTACGACATCTCGGTTTGCGTGGCAACATTGGAGCAGTTCTGCGGTGGCAGGCCGGACACCACAGAGGTGTACTGCTGCATCAGCAATACCGACGCGTCCAGCATTGATTGGATCTCACGGAGAAGCTGAAAACAACAGTAAGTAACGGTGAAACAGTACTGCACAATAATATTAACGCACATACTCAACATAGTCCCGCAACAGGGAAAACCCTATGTCGCGGGTGCCATGGACACACACAGACAACCACAAATGACACCGAAACTCACGAGAGAAATAAATGTAGGCCATACAAATATTTCTCCTGGCCCGGTAATCGAACCTGGGACCTCTGCGTGGCAGTCCGGCCACGCAGAGGTCCCAGGTGGCTGAATGGTAACCGTTCAGCCACCGAGGCAGTTCAAAATCACACAATCTAGGCTATAACATTTTAATGTAATACAGATCTCATTATTTTTTCTTGATAGATAATGATTAGACCTATACTGTAAATAAAACACACACATCACATTTTCCTACATTAAGAGATAAAAAATAAAATGTATATTTCTCCATACAAAAAAATTACAATTTCTTTTTCTCCGAAACTATCAACTTTTCAAGAAATTATACAAGAATAAAAGTTGTTTGGAATGTTATTATCTCGAATGTTATTATAAATCAGCTCGATACTCCACAAGTTATTCCTATGTCTAAGATTTATCAATTTGGGCCCACTGTGGGGCGGATTGAACCAATAGATCTACGCACTCGCGCCCTCGCCCGTCTCGAGGCAGACGCCGGCGCGCGCGGCTACTGCGAACGCGACTGGCGTCTACATACATTTGATCATAGATTTAGTACATTTGATTTACAAGCACCCGCGCCCGCCGCCACTCTGAATAAGGCCTAAATGTTTCACACATTTAGCCAATTCGGATCTAAAGCGACATGCTGTGTAATGCCTTATAGAAATATGATTATCCGTTACCTGTAACCTAGCTTCTATGTTGCGTCGTTCGGTGCCTTCCATACGAAGCAGCTCGGCGGTAGAGAGATTAGCCAAAGTTGCGGGCCGCGGCGGCGGCGGCGGAGGCACTCCCCATGCCATCATAGCTACGATTAAAAAAATTAAATACATATGGAAAGATTGACAAGTTTAGACAACTTTTGATTTCGTACTGACGACGTTTATAACGTGAACTCTATCCTGGTGGATGTCATTGCATGTTATCCAATAACGAAATGTTCGATGGGGTATGGATATTCTGATTTTAATTTTTCCTTCCAATTTTGTATTGTGCTAATAGGTAACTAGGTAACTATTTTAGATATTTTAAATCTTATTTTTGTTTAATAACAATTTTGTATGGACCTGAAACTGAAATAAACGTATTTATTATTTATACCCGACACCTTAGCAATCAATCACAACCTCGGTGGCTCAAGGGCTTGCAATGTGGGCGCTGTATGAAGAGGTCCCAGGTACGATTCTCGAGAGCACCAATTTGGGATATCAACTTTTCTAAATTGATTTAGATTTGGGTGTTCCGGGGGACTTGGAGTGAATTCCTTAGATCTGGTACTCAGAGTACAAGAGGAATTTCCTACTTAGAGACCAAGTAATTGGTGTGGTTGCCTGGCACATTATTATTATTAATCAGTAGTACAAAAAGCAATGTGTACGCCTTTAAGGCCCGGCCCCATGTACAGACGATTCCTCGTTTCGATCTATCGTCATGATAGTCGTATTGATCCGTCGCTACTCCCTTGATTAATCTGAAATGACGGATCGTGAAGACAAATTATCCCGTATATTGGAGTCTTTAAAGACGTTGCTTGCTACTCACGAGGTGGCGGCGGCGGTATATTAGGGAAGGGCGGGGGCTGCGGCATGCCGGGCGGCATAGGCGGCATAGCAGGTATGTTGGGTGTGTGAGGCGGTAGAGGCGCGTGAGCCACGTGGGGAACGTTGGGCGCGTGGACCGGAGCGTTGGGTATTGGCTCCGGTGCCGGAGCACGTAACACGTTCAGCCGGCACGTCGGGCACGTTTGCTGGCGCTGGAACCACAGCCGCAAGCACGCTGCGTGGAAGATATGATTGCACGGCAGTTTCTTCGCACCTGCACGTTGACATTACAATATTAAAATCTGTAATAAATGGCATTAAAGAGAAAGACAGGGACTATTAAAATTAAAAGTGAAACAATTGGCATTCAGATTACAAAGGAACAATGTGATTTAACAAAATCTAAAGAAAACAGAATATAAAGCCGGGTACTCATTAGCGAGCTGTAACTGTAACGTGACAGACACAGTAACCAGGTTCTAGTGTGTAAGCGTGAAACAGTCTTCACTCGCTTCTCTACTACCCTCGCGAACCACGTACACGCTATGATTTGTGGTAACATACCCGGCTTTAAAAATACTTAAAAAGATACAAACAAATGCAAGAAAATTCAAAAAGAAGTTAAATTGCATAAATTGTTCAAAACAATACAAAACTAATTTAATTAACATCGATGAATGGAGAATAGGTAGATAGGAAAAATGTTACAATAGTTCACCAAAAGCGTAACAAAATCTCATAAATAAGACCAAGCTTTACCAACGGCACTAACTGTTAATATATAAATGAATTAACAACCCATTTATAATAAATAAACAATTCGCTCACAAGTTTGTTGTACTAAACTGTTTAACACAAGCACCGATTTCTATGACCTTGACGAGTTATCAATTTCAAGGTGATAACTATACAGATATGCATTCACTTTACGTACAATCTAGAGTTATAATTATTGTTTTCATTAATGTATGTTGAGAATCAATTCTTTTTTCGTGTTTCAGATTCAGGTATTTAGTTTCAAAATAGGTAAAGTAGTGTAGTAGTTACTTCCTTGGACGTAACTGCTACACTACTTCACTTCTGTCACAAGGAGCTTTACTGCTACTAAATTAAACTGAAAAACAATTGTTCCTATGTAAAGCATGTTTTTTTTTTTTAATTCTTATTCATACTACCACAGAAACGTGATAACGTCTACAAGTGATAATGATTGAAATACATTTCATTTTCGAAACTCTTTCTACCACCATCTGTATGGTATGGTGATCACAAATTGACGTCGTACTTCGTACCGAGTAACTTTATTTAACGAGTTTTCATTGAAAACTTTCAAAAACTAGGGGTGGATTAGGTTGTATCGAAATCGAGTCATGAAATAGTGACGAGGCAACATCTCACCCGTATGCATTTCTTCGCGGCAAATGATGCACTCGTTGTCGGCGTTCGCGAGTTCGGCAGGTGTCGCATCGGGGTACAGCGTGTTCATGTTGCGAATCGCTCGACGCGATAGTACCACATCGTTGTACGCTTTCTTGAAACTCCTGCACATAATATAATAATAAAGTACTAAAACACAACCTCTACAGAGGCATCTCTATAAAAGAGTGTTATCCAAAAGAGTGGTGTCCAAATGCATATTTTGAAAATGGGCAAAGACTATAACTAACTAAATAAACATATGAAAATCCTTACGAAATAAGCAACAGCAACATAAGATGTTTGTTATATTTATTAATACAAAGATTAAACACTCAGAAAAAATTCTGGAATTTTTTCTGAGTGTTTGATCTTTGTATTAATAAATATGACAAACTAGTGGAATGATTTCACAAAAAATAATTGAATATCAATTCAATAAAAATTTCAAACATAAGATGTTCCTAATTATGCCTTTCGAAACGCTATTTACGAAAGGGATTATGTTGTCGTGGCTGTTGCAGGTTTTCTTGTCAATATTTAACAGTGTTGCAGTGTATTCACTCATAATCTTACATGATGTAAAATTTATATTAAAATTAATATTAAATATTTGTATGTATTAACATTTGGATTTTAGTTATTATTTCGAAGATTTTAAATATTGTTCACTAGATGTTG